GACATGGAGGTGCCATCAGAATCGTTTTGTAGGAGCTCTTGGGATTCAAGAACCTGTTATCCTTGGCGAACCACAAATCAAGGGTTAACCGATGATTGGTCAAAAAACCCCATTAAAATCGAGCGGCGGAACAGGAGCCATGTGTCAAAGTCCGTTCAGAATACTCATGTTTTGCCAGTTGTGGGCTGCATTCGAGAAGTCGCGAGTGCCGCAGCTTTTGATCCTGGCTGTGTCCGGAACTCAACAGCCAGGCCGTGACTTCAGCGTTGAAAGTCGCTTAAGTCCCCCTGCAGTCCAGCACGTGGATGCTGAGGTCAGCAAAAATGTTGGCCTCCTTCAGCCTGACCTCCTTTTTGCCCATCTGGTTCGCGCGGGGCAACTTGCAAGGCTCCTCGGTGCGCAATGTTCGGGGAGGCTCTCGTGTGATCAGAGCTTTGTCAGTTGTGCTACCACTGTCTGCAGGCTACACAAACGATGCCTATGCGTTTTGGAAGCTTGGCATCCAAACTGTACTCGGCAGCCAAGCAACGAGCAAAGCCTTGAAGACGCGCTGCAAAGTGAGATATGCACGGCGGTGCTTTGATCCTCAAGCAGCCCAGCCAGTAGATGCTGTTGATGCTGTTGTCAGTTTCTTACCGGCCACATTTTGAAGGTCCATGGGAGTCGAACAGTCCAAAGATGTCCAAAGTGTTCCACTTGTCCTTCTAAAGCAAGCCCGCGTTTGCTCATTTGCACACTTCTCCGTGCGCGCGCAAAGCCGCACGCGCGCGTATGCATGTGTGCGTACCCCGCCAGCAGGGAGGCAGAGGAGCTGTGGGGCCTCTGAGAGACACAGGGGGAGATTTTGTGTCTGTCCTGCCCAGCGCAGTACATGTTGAAATGGCCCGTCTTGCGAAATGTCTATTTTGGAGCGACTCGCCAAGACATCCATTCTAGCCGGGCCACAGAATTAGAGAACACAGGTGGGCGGCTCTCCGTCCGTCCCACCCAGGGCAGCAAATTTGAAAAGGGCCATGCAAAACGTGAACTTCGGCGTGCCGGTCGCTGCGCCGCTGAGATGGGATTTAAGGTGTATCAGCAACTCTTGACACATCTGGATGTCCTTCATTCAAAAAGTGTCAAAAAGTACAAGGTAGATCAATTTCTTTTTGCGTGGCTCAGCTTTCCCTCGACGTCGTGATGAAACCTTGGACCCCAACATTCTGTTACGGTGTGGACCCTCCAAGTGTCTTGGGGGTATTGTCGCTGCTACTCGGTCCCTAAACCGTAAACCCTAAACCCGAAACCCTAAACCCTAAATCCTAAACCCTAAAATCTGAACCGTGAACCCTGAACCCCTCCCTGAACCCCTAAACCCTAAACCCTAAACCCTAAACCCTAAACCCTAAACCCTAAACCCTAAACCCTAAACCCTAAACCCTAAACCCTAAACCCTAAACCCTAAACCCTAAACCCTGAACCTCATTGAGTTCCACCCAGGAATGCATTGGCAGTGTCGCTTGCGGGGCTCCTCTCCGTCTCTTTGGGAAGTGTTCTAGGACACTTGCAGCACCGATGTAGCACCGATGTGTAAGGGAGGGCCAGGCCCCCAAAGGCAGGACAAAACACGGCAGGACAGACCTGGAGCCGAGTTGATGTATGCGCTCCATGCTATGTGGGGATGTTGGGCGCCTTGATTTCACTGCCGCTACTGGCGACCATGCTCCTGACCCAGCCTCTTCGCTCAAGTTCGAGTCATGTCATCGGAAAGGCATCAAAGTCTAATTGTTGTGTTCATGATGTGGTGGCCACAGAACCTCTGCGGCATCTCGCTTTCAAGCTGCTTAGGCCATAAAAAACAGTAGGTCTGCAGTCATGGTAAAGTTGACAAGCCTTCCTCAGGTGGTTTCGAACAGCGCTGCTATGCCGCTCAGTTGAACCATATGGGGGTGCACGAAAATAGGGGAGCATCACGAGCATCAGCCGTGACTGTCCTTAAGGAGTCGGGCCCCCAAACCGAGCATCATGAGCATCAGCTGCGGCTTCCTTCCGGAGTCGGGCCCCCCAAAAGCGAACATCACGTCCTTGAGGAGGCGGGCGCCCCAAACCAAGAGAGCATCATAAGCATCAGTTGCTTGTGTCCTTCAAGAGTCCCCAATATATATAGACCACCAAATAGGAGGATCCCCTTATTATGAGGACCCTAAACCCTAAATCCTAAACCCTAAACCCTAAACCCTAAACCCTTAGCCCTAAGCCCTAAACCCTAAACCCTAGATCCTAAATAAACCCTAAACCGTAAACCCTGAACCCTAAACCCTGAACCCTGAACCCTGAACCCTGAACCCTGAACCCTGAATGAACCCTGAATGAACCCTGAACCCTAAACCCTAAACCCTAAACCCTGAACCCTGAACCCTGAACCCTGAACCCTGAACCCTGAACCCTGAACCCTGAACCCTGAACCCTGAACCCTGAACCCTGAACCCTGAACCCTAACCCTGAACCCTGAACCCTGAACCCTGAACCCTGAACCCTAAACCCTGAACCCTGAACCCTGAACCCTGAACCCTGAACCCTGAACCCTAAACCCTAAACCCTAAACCCCCAGGGTACCCCGAGCCCAGGCTACTTTGCAATGCTGGTGCTCGGCGAGGCCTGGTTCGGCCCGACCATGAACCTCTTGCAGAAGGCTGTTCGGAAGTCCGTCGCAGGCCAGTCCCCTAAGGTTTTTTTGGGTTTTACGGTTTAGGGTTTAGGGTTTAGGGAGAGACATCTGAGCATCTGACAGAGCTTGAAAGCCGTTTTGGAGGCCAGGCTACTTCCATGATGCTGGGCATCGCTACCTTGGTTGGTAACCTGGGGCCGGCGATCATTGGGATCCTGGATCCAGGCCAGTGTCGCAAGATGCCATTCTTGGACTCACGATCCTGCCTGCACTGCCCCACGCATTCAGGGGGTGTCAACATCGGCATCCACTTGCTCTGGATCTGTTGCTCTGCGCAAGTGCTTGCTGCACTGAGCTGCTCGGCGAAAAGAGGGTACTCTCTGAAAAGACCACGAGACTGGATGTAAAAGGCTTGAAGATGCCCCCCCACAGACTCCCCGCTCTTAGGCTTCTACTGGACATACCGAGAGATCACCGTGGATCCGGTCTCGGTCACTTTGGGCTTGTCGCAGGACAAGCTTCTGTAGTGGGCAGCATGCGGCAGGCGTGCCAAATGATGGTAGGTAGTGCTCATGTGAAGGAGGATCTTGCATGTTGTCACCCCTCCACTGCAGGAAAGCTTGTCTAAGATGATAAAAGGGTTGGCGAGACGCATGCTCACGCACCGCATTTCCAAAATCAAGGAGAATCTTAATCCCAAGACTTCCCGGGGATGCCATCGATTGATAACGATATGTGGTGGATGGAACATTCGACGTCTAGCAAAATGCATTTTGCAACCCGTTGTCATTGCAGGGACCATGTATGCACGGGTGCTTCGTTAGCATTTTTGGCACGAGTCTTCCTTAGGATTAACATCCCGCCCAACCTAAACTTCAGAAACTCCTGAAGCTCAAAAGTGTCACAAAAACCCCTGGGAAGATTTCGAACCTTGGGATTTATTGGTGGGTCTTGCCCTTGGGAAAATCTTCTTGGGAGGAGGCTTTCTCCATGGCACGTTGGTGGGGCGCGGAAGGGAAAAGATAGGGAGATACTCGTATGACTACGCAAAAGCACTTTCCTTCAAAGAAGTCCAACTAAGTATGGCTATTTCCAACTACGCGCGTGTTTTAAAGAAGGTTTTCAGGGGGGAGAGTCGCCCCACGCTTCTTTTCAGGGTTTAAGCCTTGCGTTTCATCAAGGCTGGAACTGCAGACACAGGATTTGTGAAAAGGGCTTTAGGGTTTAGGGTTTAGGGTTTAGGGTTTAGGGTTTAGGGTTTAGGGGTTAGGGTTTATGAATTGCCCCCCCAAACACAGCCCGGTCTTCCTGGAGCGCCCGCATGATCAGACAGATCAGCAAGGCATGATGTGAATGAAGCTGTTTTGTTGTTGGGTGACCTGGCACTCTACACAGTGCTGCACCAAAACCTCCCAAACACTCCAGGCTTCCCACACAAACAGCCACAAAACGCAGGACCCTACATGTTCCACCCTCTTGGTTCTAATAATCCCACGAGTGTGCAGAGCAGGGGTTGATGTGGAAGAAGGCTGATCACATGTTAGCTTACGCCCCTTGGTCCCTTCCCTTGTTTCACTTCGCCGTACTGGAAATGGATCATCGTCACGGGTACGTTGCTTTTTGTGTCAGGGCTAGATCATGTAGCGCAGGGAAGGTTGAAAGACACTGAGGCACACACGCTGAATGCCACAGCCCTCAGCTTCTTTCCCCCAAGTCCAGACAATCTGAATCTAGACTCGGACTGTCCTGGTCCACATGGCCGAGGCTGTGCCATGTCATCATAGTTGAGGGTTCAAGACCCTGTTTGGGGTTTTAGATCCTGCTCATTCGCCCCGCACGTGGCCATGATGTTTCACGAAGTTGTGGTGGCGCGATCCTCGCAGCTTCGCAGTCCTCGTCGCTAGACTTCGGATCCGCGCTGCTTTGGCTGCCGTCGAAGGACAAGCCATAGCTTCGCGAAGGTCGAGCAAAAGTCCAATCCCAAGCTTGCCCCAGCTCGCTGATAGCTCTAGCCGGGGGACTTGCAAAGTGCAACCTGTGTACACGAGTGCTCAGGACAAGGTGCCTTTTATGCTGAGCAAGATGCTCGGAAGCTCTGACGGCCAAAGAGGACGATGTGGTTCACAGACGCACGACTCGAAGCCGCATTGGTCAGCCAACCTGCAACGTGTCCCATGAATCGTGGGCGGCTGTGAGTGCTGGCTGTTGCAGTGGCACAAAAACGAAGACTGGAAACGCGGAGATGGAAAAGCATCGGACAGCGACAATTTGGGGCCCATTTTGATGCACTTGTGTGATCACTGATGTTAGTTAGACTTGAAATGGGCAATACGTATTGTGTAGTATTGTGTAGGTCTGGCTGAAGCTGGAGTGGTTCGCTTCTTTCCAGACTTTGGAGCAGCTTGGCGGCATGGAACAGACTGGCAATGATGAGGTTAACTCCAAGTCGAAATGGGGGTCTACGAAAATACAGGAACCCCAGTATAGACCCCTAAATAATAGGATCCCTTATAATAAGGACCCCGAGAAGGTACCCCTGATTTCGGAAACCCTCAAATGCCTCGAGGTATTGGTATGATCCAGACACGGGTGAGAGTGTCTGGACAGTGCCGCCAGCCTGAGGCTCAATCAGCTCATAGTCAACTACGCCACTGGCAAGCTGCGTAGTTCTTGCTAAGGACCCTGACGTAACATCTGACCTTGAGACCATGGGGGCAAGCATCGAGACCCTCTTCAGCAACGCGAAGGCTGAGATCCCAAGAGTTGCAAATACAGTTAGCTGCAACAGGACGTGATGTCCCAAGAGTTGAACAAACTGGCTGTCTCTTGCTTTTCTACCCCTACCTGAACCACGAAGTCTGCACGCTGCACATTCCGCATGCTGTTTGGGATGCACACAGCATGCGCACCACCAAGCAGCAGTTGCCTCCGCAGTCCTCAGATGCCAGTTGATGATACTGTTTATGTGCCAGGCTTTGGCAGGGCTCATTGCGCAGGACGAGGAGGAGCAGCGCCAACAGGAGCTAGACTTGAGCAATGCTATAGCTGTCCTGTGGGGCGCAAAAACATGCAATTTCAGTTGACAATGACATCGAGGAGATACAAGCACGCGAAGCTCAGATTCCGGATACGTCTGACCCAAAGACTTCTTGAGATACCAGTAGCATGGGCTGAGAACAGCTTGCAAGGCATTGCTGAGTTCGTTTTCCGACGCGATATGGGTCATGGTGACAGAAGTGTGAGCAGTGCTGGGGTTCTACCAGGTCTGCTTCCGGCACAACCAGTGAGGTGCGCATTCAGCCACCACTGGTACTTTTTCCAGATTCTCAGTTCGTGCCACTGTGCGGTATTCGAGTGTTCCGTGCTGCCTTTGCAAGCCGGTGACTCTCACGAGGTTGGCGAAGCGGAGGGCACAAGGTCCTTGTTGCGAGGCAGCGACACTTTTCAAGTGTGAGCACAGGTCCTTAGGATTGGTCGTACCTGAGATTGTATAGTACATCGAGTCGGATGCATCGAGGCAGCAATGCTGAAGCAGTCCCAGATAGCTTCTTCAGTAGTACCGCCGGACTCTCGGGGTCACAGTCGTGAATTTGTTCAAGGACGGGACATCGGAGTACCGTCTCGTCGAATACCTTGTGTTTCCAAGGCTGTGGCGCCCGTGACGTTCCAGCCGGCGACGGCCGAAGAGGCAGATTCGCGTTTGCATTGCTTCGGGCTGAAACGCTCCTCAATGTATGCATTTTTTGGATGCCTCTTAGGAACCTGTAGCACTGTAGTTCTGAAAGGCTTGCTGGACATGTCTGAGTTCAGGGAGGTAGATTAACGCCGAATGCTGAAAGGGGGACCCTGTGTCGTTGTTGTCCGCATGGGTTGAGAACGTTCAGAAACAGCAATGAGACTTAGCACTGGCACTGAAAGTTGTTAGATTGGGTTGGGAGCGAGAGTCGTGAGACTCAAGACCGGGAGTTCAGAATGACAGTTGAAAGTTGTATTCAGAGCTGCAAGTGGGAGTTGAATGTGTGTTTGCAGAATGCGTGCTTGCAAAAGTTACCCTGCTCGTGTCACAGCTGTTTCCGCCAGTCTGCCTCTGTGGGGGCTAACAAAAGTTAGTCTCTGGGCCCTCAAGGCCCTGAGGCCGCTCTCAGTTGCGGGGACGAATCCACGGCCTCTGTGTCACGTTGGCAGAGCCAATCCAGGCAGCCCAGGCAGCTTGAGACGCGTAGTCAGCTACTCGTAGTCAGCGTGGGGCCCGATGCAGTCGAGGTCAACACTGGTCGCAGGCCCTTTATGCTGGTTGCATTGCTTGTTTCAGGGCCGAGGGCCGAAGTTAAGTTCCTTCCGGTTTTCCGTTACCCTGGACGCGTGTCGTCTGATGTCGTCTGGCCTTTGCTGACAGCGCATCCGTGCACACAGAGGCCGCTCTCCTGCTGCAACGAACCTGGATTCTACCTCCCCTTCATCTTTTGTTGCCTTGCTCGGCTTAAACCTGCTGATGGTTTGCCAGAGTTCATACCTCGCCGGCGAAAGCACAGACACTTCGCGGCGAGGGCTTTCCGACGACAAGCTCCCTGGGGGCTTTTCTTTGCCGGGCTGGTAGGCGCCGAATTTTGATTGAGTCCTCTTTGGTATGCTCCCAGCTGCGCAGGTTCTAAAAGGCCCAGTGACCCAGCGAGGACAAACTCATCGCTGATTTTGATCTTGGGCTTTGGTGCTTGCCTTCTTCGCGGACTTGGTTGCCCCTTCTTTCGGGCTAGGATCGTGAACAGGCTTCTGTCAGTTGGTTGGCCTTCAGACCTTCGACTTGTAGCCGTTGCCCAACAGTTCGACTTGGGATCTTGTTTCTGTTGTTGGTTTGGGGAGTGAAACAGTCAAGCCTATGGCGCTTCTCGGGCTTTCAGCACGCGATTTTGCCGAAACTGGTTTCGGGCTTGTTCATGCAAGCGCATGAACCAGAGCCCAAGATTTGAATGAGGGCCGGGGGTCCGTTACTCCAGGCCTCTAAAGATTCTCATTCGGCTCGTGGAAAGATCCGTGCAGGGGAAATATTCATATTCAAGAGTCAGCATGGGAAAGCGTGACTGGCTTGGTGGTCTTGTGCCTCGTGAGTTTTTGATATGGTTACGATTAGAACCTTGCGATGATGGAACGCAGTGTGGTGATTTCAGCTCAGATGCTTTTTGTTCAGCTTGCCAGTTCTTGCACGCCCCCCAAATGATGGCGTTTTTGGAGACTTACGCAGCTATCGTTGACAAGGCAGATGTGAAGGTAGGGCACTTGGACAAAGCGGTCAACTTTACCCGACGCCTCAGGCCTTGTATGAAGTGTTTAGCTACCATCAAGTTAGTTAAGTTCACGCAGTTTTTGTTCCATCTACATCTCCGTCCCAGCCTGGTGTGCTAAACCGTAGGAAGCTAAACGCCCGAAGGGCACCAAATTGCCAAGGGATGGTCTCGAAATAGATTAAGAGGATGGATGCGCTATAGAAGAAGAGGAAAAGCGATGCTTGAGTAGGACTTATATTGGACTGTAGTGACAGGCCGGGGCGCCCAGCCACGAAACGCTCGGGTCCAGCAGGCCGGGGGCAAAGCCGCGTAGTTTGTGGTTGTCGAAGAGTTGCTGTGGGCACCGAGTCCAAAACTCATCAAGACATCAACTGTTGCAATGCTGCAAACACAGCAGTCAGCTGTGATTGTCCACTGTTGCCCCAAGGTCCATTAACTATTAGCTAATTTTCAGGTATCAGACTGATCAGACTCCGCTGTGATAGGATTGGCTTCAAAGTCTGTGCATCCAAGCAGCAACGACAATCCTGCGAGCTTTGCATGCAGTAAACTCCAGCAAGAAATTGCATCTCCTCGCGCGATCCAACGATGTCAGTCATGCCACACAGCAGGTCTTCGACCTAGGTCCAGCCGTCCTCACGGTGGAAATAACTTCTCGCACTTCCCGCCTGAGCATGTGCGCAAGCATCGCAAAGTGGTGGCGAGGGTGGCGGTGTCGGCCTGTTTCCCCCCTGAATGCTCTTGACGGGCAGTCGCAAATTCGAGCGTTTGTGCTATTAGTCAGTTAGTTTGAGACGCCCTGCCAAGGGTTCGATGCCACGTTTTCTTTCGAATGTATGCGTGCATGCATGTATGCGTGGAAGAGAAGGAGCAGTCACCATGCGGGTTGGTGTTGGCTTGAATCCGTGCCCACATTGTCGGGAGGACAGAATGGTGAAGAACGTGCCTCGTATGATGTAGTGTATGCATGGCCGGACCTGCTGCAGTTGGTTCGTTGCTGATTGCTGGCAGACGGGGTTCCATGCTGCACATTGGTGCGAGAGGGCAAAGCATAGAATCTGGCTCGAGAACAAAAGTGTGGAACGGTGCATGGCTTGCACTGGTGCAGATTGTGCGGCACAACCCCGTTTTTGCTGGAACGAGCAATTTGAAACATTCGCAGAGGGGAAGGAAGTCACAACCGAGATTGAGATACGTGTACCGACTCAAATGGGAACAAGTAGTGTGTCAGTTAAGGTGAGAGTGGTGTTCCAAAACACATTGCGGCTGCTACAAGGTATATACTTGTAATCACATGTTGTCATGATGTAGCTTGCGAAAGCGGAGGGCTGGAGTAAAGCAACATGCGACGCAAAGGTCACCGCCTGGGCACTTGCCGTGGGTCACCTTCCGGCAAGGCAGCTCCGGAAGTGCACATGCCTGGGTGTGCAACCAGAGTTCAGCTGCTTTGCCCACAGAGCTTGTCGGTCTGCGTATTAGCTGCGCCAAGGGGGGAGGGAGGCAGAGAGAGGGAGAGTTTGGGTACTCGTGGGTATGCGTTTTCCTGGACGGTGTCACTTCAACTTCGAAGCTTGGGCGCGCCTCGTGCGTGGTGCGTGGGGAAGCCCCCGCCCCGAATGTGTAGCAGAGAAGGAGGAGAAGAAGAGGAGGAGGCGGGGAACCGGAAAGTGATGTGAAAGAGAAAGCGATCGAGACAAAGACCGACATATAAAGAAAACAGGAAACCACAGCAAGACAAAGACATACAAACATAAATGACTAAACAAGGAAGGAAAGAAGGACAAAACCAATAAGTTAACGGACATATAAAGATCAAAAACAAAGAAGTCAGAAAAACAAACAACGACAGAGATGCCATGCATGAGCGAATGGCTGAATGAATGAATGAATGAATCGATGAATAACATGAAACGAAATGAAATGAGATGAACTGAAGCGAAATGAAGAAAAATGAAATGAAGAAAAAACACATGACGAGAATGAAATGAAGAGAAAAGAAGAGCATGCGTGAGATAATGAGATAAGATAATGATAATGAGTGAATGACAGAATGAGAGAATGATACTGAGAGAGTGAGATACAGAAAGACAGAAAGACAGAGAGACTAGGAGCGTG